CGAGGCTGAAGGCTGGGGCTGCTCCCAGCTCTTTGATTCGGATCTGGTGTAGATTTCTGACCCTGTTTTATTGGGCTCTCGGTGTAAGTTTGCTCCCGCTGCCAGCTCCAGCCAACGGGCAGGGAGAAGGCTTGGCAGCCCATTTCGTCCAAGGCACCAAAAAAGAAAATCGCAGCCGGCATCCCTTCAGCACCTCCTGTAGGTACCCTTTCTAGAAGCTGTGTTTTTGAAGGCTTTTGGCTGGCCGCACAATAGATCTTTTTATTCCTTTTTCAGCTACCAAGCATTTAGTCTCATTTCCCTCCGCTAAAATACACCCAGCCTCTCCCGAGTGGTTGAAGGGTAGCTGATCTCGCTCTGAAGAAAGATGGGGCTCTCGGAAACCCTGCTTTCTTTCGTTTTTTCGAGTGTTTTGACTCCCTGTGAGCTCTACAGACTTCTCAGTGGACTGCCTGTTCCTTGAAAATGCATTTCTTGTACATTTTTATGCCTTGCCTCAATTGTCCCCCCCCATTTGCTTATAAAACCACCTCTGCTGTGGTTTATGTTTAACCGATCCGTGCTTACGGTTCTTTCGATTTTCTTCTTTGAACGCAACTTGTTTTTAATAACCTCCTTGGCTCCGCTGCTTCTTTTTGCCCTTTATCTAGTCTTTTCTGATACCGATGTGCGCTTACTCTGCCTCTATGATCATGTTTCTAGCTAGCCTTCAAAAGCCTTTAGCGTCTTAGATGTTCCTTTTACCTTCTTCTTAAAAAGCTTCCTTATTTTTACACAGTTCCCCTTTTCTGAGGCCGGGCACAACCGTTCTGTATTGCTTTACTGCTATCCGTGGACCACACCAAATCAGAAGTAGAAGGGCAGGAACTAAAAAGCAGAAGACACCAGAGATTAAGACAATGAGGTTCAGAAATTGATTTCTGCAAATCAACATCGCTTCAGTTAATATTCAAGGGGTACGTCTTAAAGTTAACCACATCGAGTAGGCAGGGAGCCAGAGGGATAATAAGGTTATTTTCTTGCTTCAGATTTTGTCGTGGAGGGACTGAAAATGGTCTAAAAATAGGAGATGTGTCAGAATGTTATCACCCTGCACCTGCAGCACAGCTGATACGGTTCAGTACGGAGAAAGGCTGCAAAGGGAATGGGTTATGAAAAACAGCTTTTCTCTTGAGTTACAATTTAAAGACAGCGTTGACACAAAGCAATACTCAATGGCGAAAAATCCACACAGTTGACGAACCTTTGGGACTTTACAAACATGTGCATAATTAAACCCGCAGCAGCATTAGTCTGCCCGAGCGGTAAGGGCCTATGGCACAGGACGTATTCTTGCAAACTCCTCCTTTTTTCCCGATGCAATCCACGAGCAGCTTTACTGCGCTTTGCCAAACTGTTGGAGTCCTTCTACAAATCATTTGAATTTCAATCTTTGCATTTCTGAGCAGAGAATAACTGGGGCATGAATATTTCATATGTTCCTCTGATATGTGAAGTATTCAGAAACTCCCACAGTCTAAACAACGCATCGGTTAAGGAATTGTGCCTGTCTCTATGGAATCTATAACAGAGATAAGCTCCGTTCCTTCCTACGAGGACAGGAAGCATGGAAACAATTTGCTTCATGCAGCATGATGTTTCAACATTTCTTAGGTAATTTGTTTGAGGACTTGAAGTTATCTCTGGCAAACAATTTATCTTGGCAGTATTGTTTGCTGTGGAAATGGGTTCCAAACCAGCAGGACTTGCAGAAGAACCAAAGTCCTGACATGTCTGGTTATGTTTTTAGCACGGCAAAACCAACGCCGCAAATATGAGAACAAGTCTAAGATCTACTCCACGTGCTTAGCGAAAATGTGGGGAGGAAAATATTCAACTGATTTGTTTGTTTTTAAGTTCAGGAGGAAATCAGGAACCTGCAACTGATGCACAGTGCTAAAAATACAGAGAACAAAGCAAGCTGAATTTCAGAATTTCTGGTTAGCATAAATTTGCTAACTTGCTTTTAACCATCTGCAGTGTTGAGGATCAAACTTCTCATTGCGTAGTGAACACTTTAAACAGCTCTGCCTCTTTTAAACCCAGCTGGCTGGCAAAGGAAATTGGTATGTTAGGACTACATTCCATCAGAAAAAATACCTCGGCACCCTCAGAAATCAAGGGCCTGCAAAATCAGATTAAGTGTAGCTCTGCGATCCAAACTGGTTCTCGAGACCTTTGCACTGCAGTGAGCACCGACTGTATCTGCTGTGCAAAGCTATCCAGTCTCTCTGGCAGTGTCTGAGCAGAAATCAAAGCCACGAGAAAAAAAAAATGCGCCATGGCCTCTCCTCCTCAGAGAGCTGCAAATATAACTGGATTTTCAGAACTACATCCAGAAATAATGGCTAGACTCACATCTGTAGTATGAGACCCCAACATGCCTGTACTTAAAGAAAGCTTGGATCTGGGAGAGAATTTCCCAGTTTCAGCCTATATTTAAGTTACATGTCATTACATGTGATGTTTCTTTAAAAAAAATGTCAAATAACTGCCTTGTCTAGACACCTTTTCTCCCTGCATTTGCATCCGGAGATTCGCTGTTTGCCGATGCCATACGGCCAGTGTGACTAACACTGGTTGGGCCGCCCCAGAGCTGCAGAAAGAAGTGATGCATCATCCAGTGGACAAGGGCACTAGTTACACTGTGGTGACAAGTTATTAAACATCAGCTCCCCCACAATCGATTGCAAAACTTCCACTGAATTAGAAGCTCTCACTGATCGAGCATGTGCGGGTATACAACCTCCTGGGTGTGACAACATGCAGAGTCCTGCCTAGTTGGTACTGTTAAAAAAAAAAAAACAACACAGTACTTAACTTTTTTATAACTTCTGGGTAACTGTCATGTATCAGCCAACCTGAGATAAAAGCACAAGGAAGGCAATTTGTTTCAGTTTACTCAAGGGCTAAGCTTGCTATAATCAGCACTGTGCCCCTGTAAGTATGTACCCAAGAAAAAATGCTTTTCTTCATTTTGTTTTTATTCCTGGATAAATGACATGTAAGTTATATTAAGGGAAAACATGGAGGGAGAAGGAAGTTTTGGAAAAAGATCAGCACCTATGGTTTTGTGTCTATAGATGTTTACCTATTTTCATTTGAATAGCAGAGAGGTTGGCATTAGATTAACTAATTTCTTGCAGCGTGTGAAACCCAGCTGTTGGGAAGCAGAAGACTACGCACAAAAGCAAGCTCTTCTGAAGTCGCTAATACTTCAGCACAGGAGCAGAAGTAAATGCCAAAAAAAAAAAAAGGTAGAAACGTGCACAGGCATGTGGGCAGCTGTAATTTTTGTACTTCTCAGCACACGCAAGCCGTCACGCGCTGGCTGCCCATGTCCCACTAGATGGTGGTCATGCTCCAAGAAAATAGCAGGGTGCAGAAGCGTGCCAGAGCCGTCATAATTCGTTTGTCCTCCTTCAGCTTTTTTATCTTTACGTGTTTTAAATGTACCATCAGCTCACACACTGCAAGGTTTGCTGTTTTGCATCTCACTTTTGAAGCTAGTGGGTATGTATTTTTCTTAATACGCAGTGGAGGATTCTGAATGAGTGTGATGCGGTAGTATTTCCATATAGAACAACGTCTAATTTTAAAGTACCGATGTTGAAGCCTAGGTTGACCAAATTTAGCGACCGGCCACAGAACAGGCTCTTGACTTAGGTGCCTGATCATCCTCCCGAGACTCCCTGAAGTAACGAGGGACCGTATTGAAGTACCACCACGAAAACGTCTGTGGGCATAAAGCAAAAGCCCTGGAAGTGAAGTAAACCCACTGGGTCTGCATGGCGTTATGGCAGGTGCTGGTGGCGATGGCCTCAAAGGGGTGGAGGCAGGACTGTGCCGGGGTGGCTGCTCCCTCAGGCCAGCAGCAGCACGATGGCTCCGGGGAGCCTGCGGCAGAGGCCGCCCTGTCAGCAGGCCGCACGCCGTCACTCTGGCACCGCTTATTGGGATGGCGGCAGCGCCTCAGAACGTACGAGCCCAGTTTCATCCTCAAATCGTGATTATTTGAAAATCTGAGGGGACAACGTCTCGCCGCGGCGGCCGGGGGCGGGGGGCGCGGGCACGGTGACTGGAGGCAGGCGCGCTCCC